AGATTATCTACATCTCTTCCCCTTGCACTAAAGGGTGTCTGGAGTACGCAGGGCCTTGAGTCTGCACGCAGCCGACAAGAGACTCAGCTCTCTCGATTCTTGTGGCTTCTTACATTATTATAGAGCAATTCTCAGTTACCCTCAGATTTACAGGATTGTTTTAACTTCCCAACCCCTGAGTGAGACTAACATCCATGCTTTCCATATGAGAAAACTTAANCTCCATAGCTTTCTCAGTCCCTTAGTCCCAGTATCCCTCCTGCTGACTCCCTCTAAAACTATCACTTTGGGGGGCACTGTCTCATCTGGTCTGAGGATGAGCAAACGAGAGAGTCCCTGAGAGCAGAGGCGGAACCCGCCAGAAACCCACAGAGTAAGGGAAGGCTGCCACCGCAGAGAAACCCCACTCCCAGCGCCTCTTTCTGCATCCTTTTTACGCTGCTGCCTGCCCATATTTTTTGTCAAAGCATGCAATTTTCTGATTCAGCTTTTATCTTGATAGTGAATTGTCATATTGGTAAATGTCAGGAGAAATTCATACTATGGAGGACAAGCAGTTGAAAAATTGACACCTCATGCTGAAGAGGTAGACTCCCCTCTGAGTTTCTCTGAGGCTCACACCCCCAGGTAGTGTCAGGCATCAGTCAGAAAAGAAACAGGTAATTCCCCGCCCCTGGATCTGCTTTCCCACAGAGACTTAGAGGCAACTCAGAGTTAGAAGCAGGATGATGGATGGGGAGATGACAACCTTTGAATTATTGAGCAGTTACATAAAATTTCTACCCTACTAAACTGTGCACCAAAATGGCCAACATAGCGCATGCCATTTGCCTGTAATGCATCGTCCCTGTTATTCCCCAGCAGTAACAGAGGCGTTGAGACCTAGCGGTGCAGCAGTCACTGGTCCCCACAATAGCAAGGACAAATCTGGGATGGCGTGGCTCTGGTGGAGTGGCCTGGGAGTTCTTGCTCAGATGTCAAGGTTCTGAACCTGGCCCTGCCATCAAGCAACTGTGTGAGCTTTGACAAGTTACTCAAGTTCTCTGAGCTGCTTCCATCCTCTCTAAAGGGGCAGAAAAGGGGTAGTGGATTAGGTGTCAAAGTCTCTACTCTCCATCAAATTCCTGTCACACATCCAATACATTCCCCTTACTCTCGTGGGCAGTCTCTCCCCAACTTGAGTCTCTAGCATCTTTCCAGCATATATGTGCAAACTTTTTTCATAAATTGTATGGAAGGACAATCTTTTCTTGAGAATAACAGCACCAGTTAGTGGTCTGGGGACTCAGTGAAGTTTGAGATTATCTACATCTCTTCCCCTTGCACTAAAGGGTGTCTGGAGTACGCAGGGCCTTGAGTCTGCACGCAGCCGACAAGAGACTCAGCTCTCTCGATTCTTGTGGCTTCTTACATTATTATAGAGCAATTCTCAGTTACCCTCAGATTTACAGGATTGTTTTAACTTCCCAACCCCTGAGTGAGACTAACATCCATGCTTTCCATATGAGAAAACTTAAATCTGAGAACCACTAGGTGGCTTATTTGAAGCCACACAGTTGAGCATGGACATGCGTGGAAGCCAGGCCTGCTGCCAAGCCTGAGCTGCCCCTCTGGCTGAGCCTGTGCTGGAGGGGACCATGCTTCTGTACCTGCCAGCACCCTGCTTCCAGTCCCCTCAGTCCTCAGCATCTTTCCTTGTTCACAGGCCACTGATGGTACACACGAACATGGACAGCCAAGGGCTCAAAGAAATCTTTGCACACCTGGTCAAACTCCTCCATGACGTCAGCCTCACTGGTAGTAGCCAAGTCTATCTTGGCAGGAGCGTGACTCCAGGGCCCCGCCTCTGCTCGGCTCAAAAGCCCCTGGATTCAGAGATTGGAGACCCCAGTGCTCCTGAGCACATCCCGTTTCCTCCAGGCCAGCGGGCTGCGTTCCTGAGAAGGCCTGCCCCACCCTGAGCCCTCCCCACTCTGCAAAGGCAAAGTCACTGCTTTTTCCCAGAGGCTGGCAGTGCCCGAGCTTTCTCCCTCAGAACCAGTGTCGGACTCCAGCCCAGCCTGCCGTTGTCATCTCAGCCCAGAAGACACAGTGAGCCATCAGCCTTTTGCCAGATGAGAAACTGGCCTTTATTGCAGGTCTGGGAGGGCACAGGAGCAGAGCA